GAGACATCCTCCCCACTGTACTACGATTGAGGGATGATAGCACACAGTTCACATCTACCCCAGTTATAAGATTATGTGTTGAAAAATTAGGTAAATTTGAAAAAATGTGTTAAAAAATGTTTGGTCATCCCAATTTGGAGCATATACCGAGACTAAAATGACTGGAACTGCATATAGTTTTCCCAGCACAACATAACGTCCAGCAGCGTCCGTTTTAACACTGAATGCCGTAAATTGCACCTGTTTACTAACTAATATGGCCACCCCTCTCGATTTAGATTGGAAATTAGACTGAAACACCTGACCAGACCAGCGCCTGCTTAGATTTGCACTGTCTGCCTTACGCAAATGGGTCTCCTGCAAAAAAGTAATATTTGCATCAAGTTGTCTTAAATGTGTAATAACTTTCCTAAATTTCACTTGAACATTGAGGGATTTCACATTCCTCACACAGTTAACTGGGTGACTGTTAATGAACCTGTTAATATTAGAACTGCTCATATATGGTCAGTCGGACTGTAGTACAATATCCACAAACCATCACAAAAAAAGTAACCTGAAAAAGACATTCTCAAAACAAATAGATCTGGTATAGTCCCACCCCTTTCTCCTAAAAAAAACACGGAGAACCCAACAAACAAAAAATCCACACATTTGTGCTTATACTGGGGGACTTAACTCCCTGCCTGGACTCCCGCCACAACTAAATTACAGTAACAAAAAAATGAAAAAAAGAGGTTCCCTTACATTAAAGTATTATTACTGTTTATGCTCCTTGCTGCACTGATAAATAAATCTCTAACCAAGATCTGGACAGACCCCCTGTGAAACTCTCGTACATAGAACAAAAAGAGGAATGTTGTCCCTCGGAATAAAGTCCAAAATTAAATCAAGATATGGCGCGGGACATAAAATTGGAAGGTTCATTACAACCTGACAGTCATAATGGATCGATGAGGATTGGACCTGCGTTCAACGCCGGTCCTCGCTGACTATCGCCGAGATGATCCTCTTTTTAATATAGTCCATTGCTTTATATGCATCCAGGAACCTCTTGTTTTCCTCCCCATGAGAAATGCGGAGCCGTGCAGGAAAAGGCAAGCCGTAGCGAACATCTCGTCAGTTGCGAAGAAGCCTCCTCGCCTCCGTAAATGCCRCTCGAGCCTTGGCCACAGCCGCAGTGTAGTCAGATGTGATGATAATCGGTGCCTCCTTAAAACGAAGATGGCCGCGGCTCCGCGCCCGACGCAAAAGTTCCACTCACTCTTGATAATAGTGCCGCTTAGCAACAATAACCCGCGACTTATCGCCTGACTTGTTCCCACCTGGAGAGCGATGKGCTYGGTCAACCAGTGGCTCTTTATCCATCTGTAGAACCTCTGCTAGCAGTTTAGCCACTGCTGAAGTAGAGCTGGATTCTGGCGTCTCGGGAACTCCAATTATCCGCACATTGCAGCTTCTCATGCGCCCTTCCATATCGCCACACTTAATTTTGAGCCCATCGACTTCTTTCAGTTCTAACACGGTGTTGCGCAGAGCAACAACCTCATCGGACCAGGTCGACAAGCCGCCCTCCACCTCTTTAACGCTTTGCTTAAGGTGGTCCAGGTCGGCGCGTAGTAGCATTGAGCCGTTAGCCACTTCCGCTCTCACCGCTTGTAGCTCTCCTTTAATAAGAATAAACTCTTCAGCCAAAGCCGCTTTTATTTYGGATTTGATCAMAGCTGAGAGATCGGTTTTTATAGCCGCAAGAATGTCAGACTTCAAGGAGAGTGCGYCCACCTCTCCGCGGGAGGGAGAAGGAGGCGCCGAAAATCCGGCTTTAGCTGCAGCCTGCTCCGAGTTGGCGTCGGGCCTAACAGTCACCGAGCTAGAATGTTTGCCTTTCCTCGAGTTTGTCGCCATTCTTCTACTCTTCCAGGCAAGAGTCACTTGGGTCAAATCCGGACAGACCAAATGCTCAAAACAGCAAGGACATTTAGTAGAGAACCACAAACAGAACAAGTTGGAGCGGGAGCCCACGCAACACACATCTTACTCCTCCCCCATCTTGCCTCGCCCTCCCCGGTAGGTCGCCAGTTTGATCCCCCATTCCAGACGTCTCTGTTGTTGTGTCCTTGGGCAGACACTTCACCCGCCTTTCCTATTGATGGTGGTCAGAGGGTCCGGTGGTGCCGGTGCATGGCAGCCTCTGTCAGAGCAGCTGTGGCTGCTGTGTAGTTTACCACCATCTGTGTGTGAATGTCTGTAAATGTAAAGTGCTTTGGGGTCTGGAGGAACTTGATAAAGCATATTTAAATTTTGTCCATTTACCAGCGAAAAGTATAAACTGTTATAAATCAGAATAGACAAGTGTTTTTCTGCTGTTTAACTCTGAAACGTTTAACACTAAAATCAAGAGGTTTGTTTGGCTCTGACTGTCCCTTAATGTTCCTACCCCATTCAGACCTATGATTTATTAAATATTCTCTGACATATCAAAAAACGGACAATGTCTAAGCCCAAGTCTAAGCCCTCATCCTGCCAGCTCGATCCATTTCCCACTTTCTTGTTAAATCCTCCCTCCCGTCTCTGCTCCCTATCATCACCAGCATTATCCACTCCTCCTTGACCTCTGGTATTGTTCCATCAGCTTTTAAATCTGCAGACATTACCCACATCATCAAGAAACCAGGTCTCGACCCAAGTAACTTCAGTAATCTTCATCCAATCTCTAATCTGCCCTTTGTCTCTAAGATTCTGGAAAAAGTTGTTGTCAGTCAACTCCACTCTCATCTTTCCAACAGTAACCTTTATGAGAAGTTTCAATCTGGTTTTCGCCTCCACCGCAGCACTGAAACTGCCCTCATAAAAATCACCAACAATCTTCTCCTTGCTGCCGACTCTGGTCTCCTGTCCATCCTCATCCTCCTTGACCTAAGTGCTGCTTTTGACATGATCTCTCATTCTATTTTCCTCAACAGACTAACATCCATTGGCATCTCAGGTACTGCGTTTAACTGGCTCAAATCTTATCTTTCTGACCGCACTCAGTTCACCCAGATTAAATCTTTCCGCTCTGAGTCATCCCCCGTCTCCACTGGCGTGCCTCAAGGCTCTGTCCTTGGACCCCTTCTCTTCATTACTTACCTCCTTCCTCTTGGTTACATTTTCCGCAAGTYTGGTGTCCGTTTCCATTGTTATGCCGATGACACATAGCTCTACCTATCAACCAAGTTTAAAGGCTCCTGCATGCTGCTGCCGAACTGCCAAAATCGTGCCGAACTGTTGCAGTTTTATGATGAAAATTACGTCACTTCTGTTCGCACTATTGGCATTTCGGCATTTCTTGTTGCAACCCGCGAGTCAAACTTTTCACCCCCCTCCACATAAGAACACATACGAACTGTATGGTGTGATTGGTCAGAAATTCGTGGGAGTTTTGTTTGTGCTGAAGGACGCTGCATTTACTTCAACCACTTGCTTCAAAAAAGAAAAGGAAAAAAAGGAGAAAAAAGCGATCGCTTTCAGAGCCAACTGTTGTACCAGGAAGCAGCAATTTAAAGRTAGTCAATGGCCAGAAACTCATAAAAGGGGATAAAACAGAGACATTTTTCACGATGGAATCTTACTGATAAAAACTTCGGAGCTTAAATGGGACCAGTTTATGGATAAACAATGTCGAGTGAACGAGCGGACTTTTTTTCCGCATTGCACTCCCATGAAGGAATCCCATGCAGTGACGTATGCTGGAGCGGGAAGGGTTTCCCAGCAGCTCAGCTCGGGAACTATGAAAGGTATGTGCGAAAACGAATGGTGAACAACCACGTAACGGCACGTCGACCTGTTGACTGCCGAGCGACCATACTGCCAGCTTAACTCCACACACCCTCCCTCCCTCTATCCTCTCTGACTGTCTCAATGAACTCAGTCGCTGGTTTTCAGACAATTTCCTTCTACTGAACAGCGATAAAACAGAAATCATCCTTGTCGGCACTAAAAATTCAATCTCAAAATCTAACAATCTCCTCATCCCTATTAACAACTCTCTGCTAACCCCCTCCCCTCAGGTCAAGAGTCTCGGTGTCATCCTCGACACCACTCTGTCTTTCACTGCCCACATCAATAATGTTACTCAGCCTGCCTACTTCCACCTCAGAAATATCAAACGTCTCCATCCATCTCTCACACCCCGCACCACAGCCAGTCTTGTGACCTTACGGATCGACTACTGCAACTCTCTCCTTTTTGGCCTCCCCAACAGATCCCTCCACAAGCTTCAGATGGTGAAGAACTCAGCTGCACGTGTCATCACCCAAACCTCCTCCCATAACCACATCACCCCAGTCCTGCAGCAGCTCCACTGGTTCCCGGTCAAATCACGCATCACCTTCAAAATTCTTCTTCTCACGTTTAAAGCTATCCACCATCTTGCCCCTCCTTACATGTCCGACCTCGTACACACCTCCATCTCCTCCTGCTCTCTCAGATCCTCTTCTTCCCTAAACCTCCAAGTACCTACTGCCCGCCTCTCCACCATGGGGAGCAGGGCTTTCAGCTGGTTTGCACCTATCCTCTGGAAATCTCTACCACCTGACCTAAGAATCACCACCTCTCTTCCTGTGTTCAAGACTGCTTTGAAAACACATCTCTTTAGATTAGCATATCCATCTTAACTTCATTTGTAAACAATGCCCTGTAACTCATGCCATCTTGTCTCTAATCTGTATTTTCACACTATGATGTGCCTAATGCTGTAAGTGACCTTGGGTGTCCTAAAAGGCGCTTTTCAAATAAAATGATGATGATGATGATGATTATTATTATTATTATTACAAACTAAATCTAATTAACTGTTTATAGATGTCTCAGCATAATCAGAAATATAGATTAATGTAGAAACTTATTGGGTCGTGCCACACAATTATTTTTCCTCACTTTTCAAGCTGTTGTTTTATCAACAGTATATGCTCTGTAATATTGTACTGTCATCCTCTTACTTACTGGTTGTTCAAACTATATATATTCACTAAAATATTCGGCTGTTGTTCTTGTTCTGTTTTTTTTTTTTCTTATTTTTCTGTAAACTATGTGTGTTATGTAACGTTCTGCCATTTTAGACCCGTCCGACTCCACCTCACCTCACCTCAGCCATGGCTGAGAACATCCTGGCTGCTGCCTGTGAAAGTGAATCCCGCAACGCTGCAAAAAGGATGCGCCTTGAAACCTACCAGGTAGGTTTGTCTTTTTTTATGTGTGTTTGTTTGAGATATAGCCATTTTGATCAAATGACTTTATGCATGACCTTGTGCAGTATTGTAAGATCTGATTGATCTGATTGAAGATGTGATTTGTCAGTGCTCAAAATATAGTGTGAAAAACTCTCAGCTAAAACTACACTACAGACCATAAGTTTGGACACACCTTCTCATTCAAAGAGTTTTTTTCATGACAATGAAAATTGTAGATTCACACTGAAGGCATCAAAACTATGAAACACGTGGAATTATATACTTAACAAAAAAGTGTAAAACAACTGAAAATATGTCTTATATTCTAGGTTCTTCAAAATAGTCACCTTTTGCTTTGATTRCTGCTTCGCACACTCTCGGCAGTCTCTTGATGAGCTTCAAGAGGTAGTCACCTGAAATGATTTTCACTTCACAGGTGTGCCCTGTCAGGTTTAATAAGTGGGATTTCTTGTCTTATAAATGGGGTTTGGACCATCAGTTGTGTTGTGCAGAAGGTGAATACAGTACACAGCTGATAGTCCTACTGAATAGACTGTTAGAATTTGTATTAAAGAAAAAAGCACCTAAGTAAAGAAAAACGAGTGTCCATCATTACTTTAAGAAATGAAGGTCAGTCAGTCTGAAAAATTAAGAAAACTTTGAAAATGTCCCCAAGTGCAGTCGCAAAAACCATCAAGCGCTACAAAGAAACTGGCTCACATGAAGACTGCCCCAGGAAAGGAAGACAAGAGTCACCTCTGCTGTGGATGATAAGTTCATCTGAGTCACCAGCCTCAGAAATGGCAGGTTAACAGCAGCTCAGATTAGAGAGCAGGTCAATGCCACACAGAGTTCTGCAGCAGATACATCTCTACTGTTAAGAGGAGACTGTGTGAATCAGGTCTTCATGGTAAAATAGCTGCTAGAAAACCACTGCTAAGGACAGRCAACAAGCAGAAGAGACTTGTTTGGGCTAAAGAACAAAAGGAATGGACATTAGACCAGTGGAACTCTGCTTTCGTCTGATGAGTCCAAATTTGAGATCTTTGGTTCCAACCACCGTGTCTTTGTGCGACCCAGAAAAGGTGAACGGATGGACTCTACATGCCTGGTTCTGTCACGTTTTGGCATGGCAATGACCCAGGTCGCAAGCAGAGTTTGAGTTTATTAACTCAAAAATGCTGGTGAGGCAGCTGAAAACTCACTGAGAACGATGTGGAAAAAACTTTAGGTCATGAAACATGAACGACGAGACAGGCATACARTGCAATGATCCAACAATGAGAGAGAGACGGGACATAGCTTAAATACACAGAAAACTAATGAGGGAACAGAAAACACCTTGGGAAAACACAAGGGGAAGCAGGTGTGCATGGGCGGGGAACTAATCAGAGAACAAAGGGGAAACACTGAAAAACTAGGAAAACCAAAACATAAAATGACAGACCAGAACAGTACCTCCCTCTTAACGATCGTCTCCTGACGATCAACAAGGAGAGGTACGGGAACAAGGAGAGACACGTGACAAGACAGACTCTAAGACAAGACATGAAAATTCAGGGGGACGGCCAGGAAACCATCCCACATGGAGCAGAATTTCAGGGGGAAGGCCAGGAAACCATCCCCAGCGAGGCCCAGCAGGAGCAGACGTAGAGCCACAGGAGAAGGCGGGAGGTGATGAGGAGCCATCAGAGGTTTATGGAGCCAGAGCCTTGGCGACAGCGAACTCAGGTGACAGAGGGGACGAAGAGGCGATGACTGACGACCCAGGCGACATGGAGGCGAAGGCAGTCGAACCAGGCGACATGAAGGCGACGGCAGCCGACCCAGGTGATGAGTAGGCGATGGGCGACGACCCAGGCGATGAGGAGACGATGAGGAGGCGATGGGTGACGACCCAGGTGATGAGGAGACAAGGAAGAGGCGATGGGCGAAGACCCAGGCAATGAGGAGACGATGGGCAACATGGAGGCAAAGGCAGCCGAACCAGACATTGTGGAGGCACCGACAGCTGACCCACAACCCTCAAGAATCGCCAACTCGGGTCTCGCCAACTCAGGAGACCTCAGGACCACCGGGACCACCAACTGTGGAACCACCAACTTTGGAACCACCGAGACCACCAACTGTGGAACCACCGGGACCACCAACTCAGGACTCTCAGGATTCTCAGGATACTCAGGATACTATGATGACTCAGGATACTTTGATGACTCAGATGACTCAGGAGACTCAGATGACTCAGGAGACTCAGGAGTCTCAGATGATTCAGGCGACTCAGGAGTCTCAGATGACTCAGGAGACTCAGATGACTCAGATAACTCAGGAGACTCAGAAGCAGGAACAGCCGGTTCGGACAGCAAAGGCCCAGCAACACCAACAACCAGCACAGGAAGCACAGAAGGGGCGGGAGGGTGGGTGCACGAAGGCTGAGCCTGAACCCTCCACACAAACAGGTGGAGCTGCTGATGATCGGGCAGAATCAGCAGATCAGGGCTATCCACTAAAACACGCTCTATCTGCTGGCAGTAGAGCAGTCTTTCGTCGAGTGTGGAGGCCGACTTGAGGATCCTCATTGATCCTCTGATGATTGGAGATGTCACCTCATCCTCCCAGGGCGGCAAAGCCGGGACTGGTTCCTCAGAGGCAGGAATAGGAAGACCAGCTTCGGAGCACTCAGGTGATGCCTGCGGACTCCAGAGACGAGAGGAGGGGGACTGACGCAAAAAGGGGTGGCGAGAAAAAATGTCCAGCTCCACTCTGAAAAAAACAGAAAACAGGGTGCCTGTGGGCTGGGTGCGCAGTCGGATCATTCTGTCACRTTTTGGCATGGCAATGACCCAGGGCACAGGCAGAGTCCGGGTGAGTAAAAAATAAAGTCTTTATTAACTCAAAAATGCTGGCGAGGCAGCTGAAAACTCACTATGAGAACGACGTGGCAAAAACTTTAGGACATGGAACATTAACGACGAGACAGGCATACAGCACAATGATCCAACAATGAGAGAGAGACGGGACAGAGCTTAAATACACAGAAAACTAGTGAGGGAACAGAAAACACCTGGGGAAAACACAAGGGGAAGCAGGTGTGCATGGGCGGGGAATTAATCAGAGAACACAGGGGWAACAATGAAACACGAGGAAAACCAAAACTTAAAATGACAGACCATGAAAGGTTCCCACCGTGAAGCACGGAGGAGGAGGTGTGATGGTGTGGGAGTGCTTTGCTAGTGACACTGTTGGGGATGTTTTCAAAATTGAAGGCATACTGAACCAGCATGGCTACCCCATCATCTTGCAGTGGCATGCTATTCCATCCAGTTTGTGTTTAGTTAGACCATCATTTATTTTTCAACAGGACAATGACCCCAAACACACCTCCAGGCTGTGTAAGGGCTATTTGACCAAGAAGGAGAGTGATGAGGTTCTGTGCCAGATGACCTGGCCTCCACAGTCACCGGACCTGAACCCAATCCAGATGGTTTGAGGTGAGCTGGTCCACAGAGTGAAGGGAAAAGAGCCAACAAGTGCTAAGCATCTCTGGGAACTCCTTCAAGACTGTTGAAAGACCATTTCAGGTGACTACCTCTTGAAGCTCATCAAGAGAATGCCAAGAGTGTGTGAAGCAGTAATCAAAGCTAAAGGTGGCTACTTTGAAGAACCTAGAATATAATTCATAGTTTTGATGCCATCAGTGTGAATCTACAATGTTCATAGTCATGACAATAAAAAAAACTCTTTGAATGAGAAGGTGTGTCCAAACTTTTGGTCTGTACTGTACATCAAATTATAGTTTAGTATTTTGTCACCTTGCTAAAACATTTTTTTCAAGTTTGTCAGGAATCTTAAAAATGTCATAAGGTACATTTTTGTTTAAATTTTTTTGTGTTTCTGGAAAACTTGGAAAAAAATAAAAGATGGGTGATTATTTTATGAACTTGTCAATTTGTAAAACTGAGTAATAGCTTTTTTCATTTAAGATTACCTGGCTGAAACAGCCATCTTGAATTGGATTGACCTCAGAACTCTACACATTTTCAATAGGAGACATTCTTAAACTGTTGGACTGTTTGCTCACACAGTTGTTCACAAAGTGGTGATCCTCACCCCATCCTTTCTTATGAATGACTGAGCCTATCAGGGATGTTCCTGTTGCTCCAAACAGCTTGAGCATTCCTCATCTTCCCCAGTGTTTTKTAGCCCCTGTTTCAGATTTTTTAGAACATGTTGCAATATCAAATTCAAAATTAGTGAATATTTTCAAAAAACAATAAAGATTATTAGTTTAAACATTAATTATCTTGTCTCTGTAGTGGATTCAGTTGAATATAGGTTGAAAAGGACTTACTAATCCTGACAAATCGTAAAAACTGTGATTTTTGTTTTTATTTAGTCTGAATCATTTCAAGTGTTCATGTTATTTTATTGTCCTTTACTGTTCGTTTGGGGGAAAATGTGACAAAACCCAATGTAAATGCATTTTTAACCCAAAATCATCACATCAACTAATAATGCATTCCTTTCAGTTACAGTTTATTCTCACCTCTATCTCAACATTTTTTCTTAGTAGCCCACTAGGTGGTGCTCTGATTTCATATTTTTGTGTCACTGGAATACTATTTAATTATTTTATTAATGAAGCTCTTTATTTCTTGCTCAATTTGTTCATGCGGTGTACTGCAGTGTTGGTCATCTGCATAAATATTTGCCTTTCCAGCCAGGCTTCACGCAGCCTGCAGCCTGTCCAGATTTGGTTCCTTCTTCAGCTCAATCTCTCTTCTGAAATGACAAAATTATTTTAGTTTGGATGGAAAGAGAAAAAGCACACTTGTGTTGTGCAGGAGTATACAACTGGATTGAGAAAAAGCTCCAACTGTAAAACATGTCGAAATTTTCATTTGGATGTCTTATGGAGGAAAAATGACATTTTTTTCAAGAACTGTCATAAAATAAAATAATAAGCTGATTTAAAATAATTGTATTGGAGCATTTTGTACAACTAA